TATTTTCATTTTCTCCATGTGTTTTTTTTTTTTAATTTCCTTTTGATTTCCATGTTGACCTGATGTTTTTAATAGCATGTTGTTTAGTGTCCACATATTTCTAAAATTTTTTTCTAGCTTTCTGTGGTTGGTTTCCAGATTCTGCCTAAACTTGTGATCAAAAAAGATGCCTGATATGATTTCAATCTATAGATTTATTGTGACTTGTCCCAATATATAGGGTTTAGTCTTGAAAAAGTTCCATGTGCAATTGAGAGGAATGTGTACTGTGGAGGGTTTTTGTTTTGTTTTGTTACTAAAATGCTCTGTATATATGGAGGCCTTCAGAACTCTTTCATAAGCACTTCTGTTCCTGATCTGTGCTGGGTTTAGTCAGACAGTGATAAATGAGATAGGCATGTCTATCCTCATGGATGTTTTATCTGTTGCCTTCCCAATGAAATGATTGTCTTTTCTTTACCTCAGCTTTGTATTCTCCATGGTTAAAGCTTTAGGACTTCTGAAGTACGTGTTTAAACTTGGCCATGGGACTTGAAACTCTTTATGCCCTGTCACCTGGATGTTTTGTGAGGATACTTGTGTTTTTTGTTCTTTGAGAATGAATATGTCCACTAAAATCTAGGTGTAGTTATTCCACAGCTGTAAAAATCATACTTCCCCATCTGCAGAATTGTTGGCTCCAGTTTAATGCAGTTGCTGGTCACCTGCACGATTGCACCAAACATATGTCTTTTCTCCATGAATTAGGGTGTCGTGTTGATAAACCCAGTCTGCTCTCCCAGTGGGAACAGGAGGGCAAGATGCCGGCAGAGGAGCGAGAAGCTCTCCCAGGCGCACATCCAGGTGAGCACTGCAGCCACAGTCCATGTGAGGACTGGCTGCTGCCAGCGAGTCCTGGTGCTGGAGAGTGTTACTGAGGAAAGGTGGATTGGGCAAAAATGTCCCTTTTTTTACACAGATGGCCAAGAACATTTGGTATGAACTTAAGTCCTGCATATGCTGTGCTCTTTGTCCAGTTCAACTTTGCATTCCTGTTAGTTCTTTTGCAAACCTCTGATCAATGTTAATTGTCTCAGGGTCATTTTATAGTACCTACATGTGTGTATTGAGCTTCTTTGCATTGCAAAGTTCCTCCTAAAAAAACCTAATCCCTCAGAGTTTTGCCTTTACTCATGTGTGCACTTCACTATATTTTTCTCCATCCACTTACATTTACTTTCAATTTGTTTCAGATTTGGACACTGTAATTAAAGCCCAATGGCTGACTCCTAAGAAGCATGTTTTGAGAAAAGAACACTCTAATGGTGTGAAAGCGGTAAGACTCAACTGGGTGATTTCTAGGTTTTCACAGTAGGAAAATTCCTTAAGTTAGAAAAGCCACAAAGTAATCAAGATATACATTAAAGAGAAGTATCATTTGCACATGAGAAAATAGTGTTTCTGGAGAGATACTGTGAAACTACTGTAAATTTGGAGGAAAAATAGACATTAAAGGTGTTTCCACAAGTAAATATTTCCTTAGATGTGACTCAGATATTGAGTTTATGTTTGAAACATGAAGTGATTTTAAATGTTCAGAAAATGCTCTGTGACTATGATAAGGACTTGTGGCAAAGCGTCTTTTATCTTTTTAAATTTATAAGTGATCAAGCTGAGTAGAAAGCATGCACAGGTACTGAAAATAATCAAGGCATCAATTATAATAATGGAACAGAATTCTGGTAGAGAATGTATGAGATAGCTTTAAATGTTAAAATTTTACAAATTATAGTTATATTGCTTTCTTAATCAACAGGAAAGGAATCACCTTGGAGTGAAACTCAATGAATGTAATCAGTGTTTTAAAGTCTTCAGCACAAAATCTAACCTTACTCAGCACAAGAGAATTCACACTGGAGAAAAACCCTATGACTGTAACCAGTGTGGAAAGTCCTTCAGCAGTAGGTCTTACCTGACGATCCATAAGAGAATACATAATGGGGAGAAACCCTATGAATGCAACGACTGTGGGAAAGCCTTCAACGACCCCTCCTCTCTGCGACTGCATGTGAGAATTCACACTGGGGAAAAGCCTTACGAATGTAACCAGTGTTTTCACGTCTTCCGCACTAGTTGTAACCTCAAAAGCCACAAGAGAATTCATACACGAGAGAATCACCACGAATGTAATCAGTGTGGGAAGGCCTTCAGCACGAGGTCCTCCCTGACTGGACACAATAGCATTCACACAGGAGAGAAACCTTACGAATGCCCGATTGTGGAAAGACCTTTAGGAAGAGCTCATATCTGACTCAGCATATGAGAACTCACACTGGAGAAAAACCCTACGAGTGTAATCAGTGCGGAAAATCCTTTAGCAGTAGCTTTTCTCTCACTGTGCACAAGAGAATTCATACTGGAGAGAAACCCTATGAGTGCAGTAATTGTGGGAAGGCTTTTAATAATCTCTCAGCTGTTAAGAAACATGTGAGAACACACACTGGAGAAAAACCCTATGAATGTAATCAGTGTGGAAAATCATTCACCACTAACTCTTACCTTTCAGTGCACAAGAGAATACATAATAGGTGGATATGAATATAGTCACTGGAATAGCATTCACTGACTTCTTATTTCCAGACAGCTTGTAACTCACCATTGATGTGTGAACTCTGTTGCTGCGTAATAAATTTTCCTCCAAAACATCATTGTTTCATCAAACAACAGCATTCATTGATATTATCTCACAACTTATCTAAGTCAGGAATTTGGAAACATCTGTGTAGTTCTGGCTCAGGATATCTCATGAGGATGCATTCAAGATGTCACAGGAGCTACAATCTGAGTTTTTACTGCAGAAGAGTCTACTTCCAGAATTGTTCACTGGGGTCTCTTAGTCCCTATTGTTGGCAAGGAACCTTCATTTCTTCACCAGGTGGAACTCTCCATAGGCCTAAGTAGCTGTATGACACAGCAGCAGGTTCCCACAAAATCATTTGGTGTGAGGGAGAGCTAATATGTCAGGAAGACTTGCTGTCACTTATGCCATACTTACTGGTCTCACAGACCTATCTTGATAAAATGTGGGGGAGCCTGCACAGATTATGTGTACACAAAGAGATCACTGGAAACCACAGGACGCTTGCCGTGGAATTATAAAAGACCTTTGGTGTATTCAGAGTGAAGTGGCATCAGAAACTCATCTGAATCCACTCTGGAGAAAAACCTCGTGAGAACAATCTGGTAAGCTTTCAGCTCGAGCTCGCCCAGATGTGCAGCACAGGTTGTATATTGTGAGAAACATGGGGAACATGGTGGCTGTAGGAAAATGTCAGTGACCTCTCTAGGGAGTCATGTGACAACACGCTAAGGGGAAAACGGACTATCATCAGAATGCAAAAGCTTTTAGGGACACTCAGCCCTTAGAAAACACATGAGGAAGCCACTCCGGAGGAAGCCTGAGGAACGCAGGAAACCCTGCAGCATCAAGCATTTATATTCCTGAGCGGAAGATGGTGAGAAACTCTGAAGGTCATCACTGTGGGAAAACCTTGGATGTTTCCTCAAATTTCAAGAGCTGGGAAGATTTATTCTGGAGGAAAAATCCCCATTACTTGTGATCAGTATTGGAAAGATTTCCATTTTTCCACATTCTTGGGAACCTGTGAGTACTCACTGCGAAGAAATGCGTGACTATAAAGAAAGAAGAATGCCTCGAGGGATACCTCTTAACACTAGGGAAATAGATTCTCCCTGGATGCACGACCTGTCAGTGCATTCTCACTGGGAAGTCCCAGTGATTCCTGTATTTGTTGAAATGTGAGGACTCACACAAGGGGAGCCCTAGGGATGGAATCACTGTGGCGATTTCTCAGCTCTTCGTTGCGTGGACGCCAAGTCCTATAGAGTCAAAAGTGTTCTGAGTGGGGGTTCCGTTTGTCACTGTCCCATCCTTTGGCTGGGCCACTCCTGAATTTTAAGTCTTTTTGTTTTAGTATAAGCATTTATAACTGTACACTAAAATAAACCATAAATTATGTCCCATGGTTTTGTATATATTGTCATTTACCCTAAAATATTAATATGTATAGTAAAAAAATGTATTTCTGAACCTTCTGAGTTGATTTAGTCTCATGGTGGAAATTAGACTTTATTTGCTGTATGCCTTTTTCTTTTTTTATTAAAGATTTATTTTTATTTATGCATATAAGAACTGGGGTGTAGGCCAGAGGTCCAGGGGGTAAGAGGATTCACCAGAGACAGAGTGGGGAGCAGAACAGGCAGATCTACTGAAATACACTGCTGAGGAGAGCAGCGGGTGAGACAGGAGAAGTCTGCCCTGCCTTGTGGGTCAGCTCCCTGGTAGGGGATCGAACTCAGGCCACTATGGGGGTAGCACTGAGACTTAACCTGTAGGCCACCAGGGAGGCCCCACTACATACCTTTTTTCTAATACAATGGCATTTTTGTCAAGTAAATGGACTTTATGATGTTGTTTATCTCTCCTGCAATGGCAGTTATTTTTAGTTTCTTTCCCAATGTCCATTCTCCCGTTTATTTACTAAAAGGAAAAAATGTTCATGTTGTCAGAGAGCAATACTGAAAATAATCTGTGAGATTGGCCTGAAACCCTGAGATGTCCGACTTTGCTGGTCATCACTGGAGGAAACGCCATCTGGCTTGCCTCCTTTGCCTGCATCCTGTTCATCTTGCCCATTCTTTTTATTGGAAGTATACTGTGCCTAATTTGGAAGAGCTATCTTTTAATCGTGATAAAACCACAGTGTAACTGCCGACCACCACCATGATACAGGCACTCCAAAAGCCTCTGACTGGCAGTGCTGGCTCTGGTCTGCTGAGCCTTTGACTTCTCTTTTGGATTTAAGAGTAACCGCTGGTTGAAGCCAAAATTGTTAAATTTTGGGTGGTTTTGAGGTGATGCTCTGTTAATGTCCAGCTGAATGTGAAATGTAGGCTGCTGATTTTAGTAGGTCAAGTTTAACAAATGCTTCATGCCCATTCTCTGGGACTCCCTGGTGGCGCAGCGGACTGAGCGCAGCACTGTGAAGCTGTCCATGGCTTCTGCAGCGCGGGTTCGATTCCCGGCTGGCCAGGGAGATTCCCACATGGCGAGGCAGACCTCTCCTGTCTCGCCCATTGCTCCCCTCAGCAGTGTATTTCGGTCCTTCTGCCTGTTCTGCACCCTGCTCTGTCTCTGGTGAATCCTCTCACCCTCCCGCACCTCTGGCCCGTACCCCAGCTCTTGTGTAAATAAATAAATCTTTTTTTTTTAAAGTTTAAAAAATGTATTCTCTAATTTTTGGCTATAATGTGCCCATAAACTTAAGCAAAAGCAGGAATTGACTGAGAAGGGACATGAAGGAACTTGATGGGGTGTGGAAATGTTCTATACACTGAAAGAAGTGTAGATCACATAGGTGTGTACATTTGTCAGAATGCACTAGCTGTCTCCTTAGATGTGTGTGCTGCACTGTAAGTTATCTCAATTTGAAACATTTTGTTACAGAAATGAGAGGGAAAAAATGCCATTTATTGCCTGATTCTATTGTATGACATTCTGCAAAAGGCAAAACTAGGGAAGAACAGCAAATGGATGGTTTTTAGGGAAAAGGAGAAAGAAAGACAACTACACCGAGGCAGCACAAAAGAATCTGGGACTGATGGAATTGTTCTATCAAGGTTGTTGATGGGTTGATGGATACACAACTCTAACCTTGCAGAAATCTATAGAACTGTATGCCAAAGGCATGAATATTACTGGAGGCTAAATAGAAATTAATCAGGTAGCAGAGGAAATACAAGATGGGATGCAAGCTTTAGCAAGGGAACCTAACTGTTATATATGAGTAACATAGCCTCAATGGAGGAAACCAGTTTACTTTGGAAAACTGTTTTGGTCAGATACTATAAGGCCCAACACAAAAAGAACTGTCCATGAATCCTTTATTCTAGGTCAAACTACTGTTTCTCATAATGGTATGGATTAGCAATTCTGATAGATGTATGGGAGGGCCGAGAAGTATATATAGTATCAATATTGAGTACCAGTTTCTCACCGTCAAAGAGATATTATAAACAAGAGAAGTCTAGAATGAACACTGGTGTTGGGTTGGAATTGGAGTTATCGGAATGAATTGATGCTCTTTGATGGCCGGATGCATGTAGGGATCGATGGGGGCGGGGGGGGCGGGGGTTGGTAATCACAGGGTAGTGCACATTAGTGTATTTCCAAGACCTGTCAGCTCAGGAGGATTAGGAGCTGGGACTTTGCAGTAGCATAGAGAATACCTGTCACCCAGGTCTTGTTTCTAAAATACTATCCTAAAAGGATGAAAAAGGCTTTTTGGGTAAATAGTTGATTTCAGGGCTCCGTAGAGAAAAGACATCCTGCCCCTGAAAAATCTCCAGAGGATCTTCTAATAGAAAATAAGGATTGACAAGTAGCCCCCCAAATCTGCTTTAAAGTTCTCAGATCCCTAAAAAGCACCTCAGCTGTGCTTAGAATAGCTCCTGCAAGCTGAGGAGCTGGGCAGAAATTTCAGAGATTGGTTTTTGGGCTCTCCTGAAGTGGAGTGACCTTGTTTATATATATATATATATATATATTTAACAGCTAGGCTCCTATTCAAACCCTAGAAAGTCAAGCCCTGAGAGCAAATACAGAATACTAAGAATAAGGACTACATCTAGAGTACAAAACTGAGAGATCTGCTCCTCACAGAATCTAAAATCTAGCCCTCATAGGATGGAAGTGTTATATATTGGTACATATATTTGTTGTACTCAAGGTATATATTCTATTTATTAATTTTATAACTGCCTGCCATAACAACCAAAGATTCAGAGGAAGGTGACATAGTTCAGAACCTCCGTAAGGATTAACGAGATTGAGCACACAAGATAAAAAGAGCTAGACAGGAAAGTGTTCTCTGCTCTGACCACGTAGGTCAATAGGAGTGGGCCCAGGGACTCTGGATATTGGAATTAGCAAACAAGAACCTCAGAGAAGTTAGGAATATGTTAAAGGAAATGGAGGATGTGTGCACAAATTGTAAAAAATGAAAGACACTGCAAGGCTTCAGAGCAACCAAAGAAAAAGGACAATTGCTTTCAAAAGAGCAACGTGATACTAGGAACTTTTTGAAAGAAACTATGGAAGGAAGAAGACAATATCTCTAGAGGGTTTCATGAAAAAAAAAAAATCTGGCAGCCCAAAATTCTATGAAAAACAGCAACAAAAATTCCTTGAAATGCAGAAAGTATTCTGACAGGATTTAAAAAAAAAAAAAAACTGAAAAAAAATCAATCCAGAACTATACTTCAAGAAAAACGAAGGATAATTTTCAGGCTGAGGGAAACTGACCCATTGCCACATGAAGACACAAGAATGAAGATCATGAGGAGACAAAAATGAAGGAATGAAGGAATGAAGATCATGAGGAGACAAAATTTAAGTAAATATAAATGAATATTGACTGTACAGTTTTGCAACCTGGATACAGTTTTGCAACCCTGGATAGTGTTACACTTTCATGTAAGTCAAAACTTTTTCAAAATAAAATGCTTTTAAAATTAATTTGATCTTCAGAATTAGAGCTCTCCCAACTCACCCCACAAGGCAGGTGACATAGAAGCCCTGGCAAGTCATGCGCACAATTTTTAGCCGTAGAAGCAACAGAAGCTGACTAAATAGCACACTTTGAGTGGAGCATGTGGAGGGCAGCCGGCAAAACAGTAAGTTTCTGGGATATCCGATTTTCAAAGAGCTTCGGAAAGCAAGTAGCTTCCTGGACCTGGAGTACACGATGCTCTTAAGAGACCGACAGGCCATTCGCAAGGGCCCAGCGCCAGGGGGTGGGCAGGGAGTCCTGCCGTCAACGCGGGGCAAAGGCGAGTTGCAGGCGGCCTGTTTGCCAACCTTCACCTCCCTCCCCCGAATCATTCCCCTTTGGGCAGGCGCAGAACCCACACGAGAGGCCAGCAGTTCTCTCGGCGGACCAGGCGCCCCGACGACTGCAGTCCTGTGTCCCCGAAACCGCCTCGCCGGCCCCGCAGAGCAGGGGTCCGCCCAAACCCCGCCCCGAAGTCGCCAGCGACTGGCCCGGGCCCGCGAGATACGAGTGGCACGACCTGTGTCCAGGTTGGACGGTCGCAGACCAGCCAGAGTCCCAGCACCTCTCGCAGGTCCCCCGGCCCCCACCGGGCCCTGCCCTACAGCCACGCCCCCGCCACTGAAGCCACGCCCCGTCGCTGGCGCCACGCCCCCGCCGCCTAAGCCACGCCCCGTCACGGCACGCCACGCCCCAACCACAGCCACGCCCCCACCACGGCATGGCACGCCCCCGTCGCCGCACGCCACGCCCCCGTCACGGCACGCCACGCCCAGCGTCCGCTCTGAGGGCACGCCTCCTGGGGGGCCTGGGGGTGCGGGGGACCCCAGGCTGCAGGCGCAGAGGGCTCGGCCGTTGCTCCGTGGAACGCTCGCCGAGTGCGCGGGCCTGGAAAGCGTGAACTTACCGGTTAAAACGGAAGCGCGGCCGCAAGCCCGCTCCGGGCCCCCCCTTCGGGCCGCCGGGGGCGCCTCCGGACCCTCCGGGCCCTCCGGGCCCCGCGCCCCTGGACTGGGGGCGCCGCCCCTCGCCGGCCTCGCGCTGCCGCCCGCTGTGAGCGCGGAGAGAGGCAGCGCCGCGGGAGGCCGCGCCGGCCGGGCAGGCGGCCGCGGGTCGGGGCCTGCGCGCGTCGGGGGCGCCGGTCGCGCCCCGCCGCCTGCGCCCGCCTCGCCCGCGGGAGCCCAGCCCCAGCCCCCGCGCCGCCGCCGCGCCGCCCCCCGGGTCTCCAGCGCGGTTCACATGAAGGTCAGGGTTAAGTTCTCTCAATCTTTTAGCTGCTTTCGAAAGAAATGATGTCACTGAGCCCCTCCTCGAGACCCGCCCGCCCCGCGCGCCCCCGCCCCGCTGCGGAGCCCGCCCGCGGCTGCCGCCCCCCTGGGCCTCCGGCCTCCCCAGCCCAGGCCGCGCCTCGTCCCCAGCCCTCAGGGGCCGCAGAGGCGCCTTCGGGCTGCGCTTTCCCTGGACTGCACCCCTTTGTCATTGTTGCTTACACATTGTGTGTGAATTTGGGGGTCCGCCGTCACGCCTGTACGTGCACAAGCGTCACACTCACCACTACAACCCCCGCGGCAGGGACGGCCCCCTTTCCAGCAGCCCCTTCTCTTTCCTCGCTGTCCCTCTGCGACCAGCGTTGTTTCCAGGGTCCGAGCATTACTCTCTGTGCTTCGGTTACTCACACTCCGCATGGAGGCCAAGCCATCTGTTACTTGTCTTTCTGACTTATTTCTTGCAGCATAATCAACTCAAGATCATCTATTTTGTCCCAAAAGGCAAAATTTCATCTTTTCAAATAACTGAGCATCCAATTGAACAAATTCCATAATTTCTTTCTGCAGTCATCTGCTGCTGGGCACTTACGTTGCTGTGGATAATGCTGCTATGAACAAAGGTGTGCATAAATCTTTCATCCGTGTTTTCATATTTTTGGGGTAAAAATCTAGCATCAATTTTCATGGATTGTGTGTGGCTTTTCCATTTTTACTTAAGTTATCTCCGTACTGAGCCACCAGGGAGGCCCTTAGGTCACAAGATTTTGACATGAGGCAGGAGAGGAATGGAGGAGCATCCCGCTGGACCCCCCTCTCCAGTCCAGATCCGGAAGCTCTCCTGCACCAGGGGAGCCAGGGAGATGGCAGAGGGCGGGGCTCCTGCTGGCTCTGCCAGCCTGCAGGCCCTGCTGGGCATCCCCATCTGCTCGCAGTGAGTTTGTGGCTGAAAGGAGGTGAAATGGCACGGAGAGGCCTCGGCCTGTAGGAAGCGCTGCTGCTACCTGCTGTCACTGTGGGAGCCGGTGGAAAGTGGTAGCGCTCCCGTGTTCTCTAGAACTGCCCAGTGCTCACCTCCTACAAGCCGGCATTCAAAGCAACTCAGAAAATACAGTTAAGTCGTTCCCTTTAAGTTTTGTGTCCTTCTGTGTTTATTTCTCCAGGGCCAGCCCCCCTCCCTGACAGAAATGAAAGACGAAGAGAGACGTGCAGCGGGGGAGAAAGGACCCTCTCCGGAGCTTCGTCCAGCTCCCGGCAGCTCCTGACCTCCTTGCCTCACCCGTCACTGAATGCCACTGAATGCCACGGAGGTGCTGGGTGCCCCCTTGATTTGAATCCCATGCAGAGACCCCTCAGCCGTCTGCGCATCTGTCCTGCCCGGGACACAGCCCCGGGCCGCCGGGCCGCCACGTGCCCGCACAGCCTGTTCCGGCTGAGCCCGCCTGGGGCTGCTTGGGCCCAGCCCGGGTGATCTCCTGCATCATGTGCTTGGCCCTTCGGGCTCAGACTCTTCCTGTTCTCCTTTCAAAATGACCTCCCCACAGTCTTTGATTTTACCCCTGCCCAGCTGTCCACCTTGTGAGCTGTCATTAGCGTCACCCATTCCTGAGCACCTGCTGCTCTTGCAAAGTTGAGGAGCCGCCCCCGCCCTACCAGTCCTGGCTGTTGCCAGAGAAAGAGGCTGGGGTCACACCACTGATTTCCCAGCACAGAGGGCAACTCCTTTGTAGGGCACACCCTGGGGGCAGCTGTTCCTCTGTGGGCTCCAGCACCGATGGGGAAGCTGTGCTCAGAGGAGGCCCCGAAGCCACGTTTGAGGCTCTGCCAGGGGCTGTCCCTGTCTCCAGGCCGGGGACCTCGAGGGCATATTGGCTGTGCTGCTGGCCTTCTACCTGACTCTCGGTCCTCTCCTGGCCTCTGACTTTCTGACTTGCAAAACACAGCGAAGACTGGAATGGTCAGCTCAATGAAACCCTCTTTAGTGGACAAGATCCCAGGCCGAGCTGTGGAGGCTGGGGAAGGACCCACAGTCGGCGGCATCAGCGGAAGGGGTGCTTTATGGTGCTGGGTCAGTCTCCGCCATGGGTCTCCTGCAGCCCGGGTCAGGGGTTACGCTACTTCCAGCCCATCAATGGATCCCGGATCTGGTCCCACCCGTAGCCCATGGATAACATCCCCTCTGCGCCAGGGGGTCTCATAGTCAGGGGGAGTCTCGATGTAAGGCCTGAATTCTCTTCATGCCGCTCAGCCTTGCGACCTTACCTGCTGGGGCCGAGGGCTGTGGCACGTTCTGCTCAGCACCCACCTGGCAGTTCTAGGCCGGCTCCTCCACTGAGAGGCGCAGGTGTGGGCGTCCTGCAGAGGGTGCCCCACCCCCAGCCTCCACACACTCAGCTTGGGGCCACTGTGCTTTGGGTCCTGGTGAGTTTGGGTCGGCAGAAGAGGCTGCCCCAGAGGGCTTCAGCTTGTGGCCCATGGTGGACTCGTTGCTGAAGCCAAAGTCTGCAACCCTGATGTTCAGGTCAGTTTCCAAAAGCAGGTTGTCTGGCTTTAGGTCCCTGAGGACGCGGTCGGCCAGTCGTCCTGGGCCACCTCTTCCGGGTGGCCGTGGCCCGGCAGGTGATCAAACATGTCTCTCCTGCTGGGGCCCCCTGACCTGGTGGTGTTTCCATGGTGTCAGTCACCTTTCATAGTTCTGCTGTGGGGGGATTCGCGCACAAGTCCCCCCGCGGCCCTCGGAGCGTCGCCCGACTGCCGAGGCTCGGCGGTCCTTGCCTGCCTTCACAGCACGTGCCGCGCCAGCTGCCCTGGCGGCGACCTGGGGGTCAGTCGAGGTCCTTGGGGCTGGCCACAAGGCCCCCAACATGATCACTTGCTGATAATAGTAACTAAAAAAAGAGCCAACTAGATACTAGCTGGGGAAAAAAGTGAGAAAGACGGAACACATGAGACGAAGCTCCCAAAGAGCAAACGGCCACAATCTCTCAGGTCATCGAATACCAGTTTCTTGGGGTAGAAGGTCCAGAATCCCGGACCCAACAAGGAACTGCCCAGGGGCTCGGCCGCCTCACCGGCCCCTGCAGGCCAGACCAGGGCCTGTAATGAGATAACTCACAGCCACTTCCCCACTTTTGGTCTCGCAGACCCTTTAGTGTCTTGATGAGGGATATAGACTCTGACAGGAGTCGGAAGGCTGCTTCCTGGCCTTGCTAGTTTGAAAATCCAGTCATTGCTTGGCTTTCAAGCCACTCGACTTTAATGACATCCTCGAGGCTGATCCTCTGCCATTCTCTGGCCTGCATCCTCCAGTTTCGGCAAAAGTCTTTCTGAGTCTTTTGGAGCGACCCCTGCGCCCTGAGATCTAACCACATCCCTCCTCGGCCGTGCGATCAGTTTGACAAGAGGAAATACACGCTGCTCTCAGCCCTTGGCTCTTGGGCAGGGCCTGGGAACCTTTGTTGGTTTCCTGAGCCGGGGGCATGTGTGCTGGTGAGGTGGCGCGGGCCGGCGGCAAGCTGACCCCAGTGGGGACTGGCCGCCAGAAAGACAGTTGTTACAGTTATGAGATTTTTCAGCTCCACTCTCCACCCTCCAGAGATGCGAGAAGGGCTGGAAACTGAGTCAATGATTGGCCATACCTGCCTGAGGAGGCCCCCACTGTGTGGGACTTGGAGGACTTGCGGGTGCCATGGGGACGGAAACTCCTGTGTAGAACCCTCCAGACCTGTGTGCCTCCCCACGGGCCATTCACCTGTGCCATTTACCCTGTTCTTCAATAAACCGGTGAACAGAAGTCTTCCTCTGAGCTCTGTTAGTCACTCCAGCAAATGATCAAATTCAAGGCGGGGCTTCTTGGGATCGGCAGCTCTTAGCCGTGGAATCGGGGCTGTCTCTGGCAACAGTGTCCCGGCTGCATTGCAGGGCACCGGGCTGGTGTCAGGATTGCTTGGGGGGGTGAGGGGGTGCACGCATCTGATGAGTGGGAGTGAAATGTTTTGCATAACTAGTGAAGGGGACGCGGGAAAGACGGTGTTGGGTAAAAGTAAAATATCAGGCTTTTCTGCCCTCTGCCATCAGCGTTGATGATGGAACCCTCTGGTCCTGAATGCATGCCTGAAATGCACCTGGCATAGGGTGTGGGCCTACATAGGTGGGTAAACCTGGGCTGAGACTGGGCTTATGGGAGCAGCGTCGCGGGGATGCCGGGAGAGGACCAGAACCACCAGCAGAGAACAAGCGGGAACAGCAGACCAGAAGAGCAGCACCAGCAGAGAGGCAGAGACCACGAGAAGGCCGGGGAGCCCAGGAAGAGAGAGGACTCACTGGGGGCTGGGAAGCCTGCCAGCCTCCCGGCCCCGCAGCACCCCTGCCTGCCTTGCACCAGGTAAATCCCAAATAAAGCCTGAAAAGCCACCGAGGGCTCCAAGGCTCCTCCTTCACCCCGTCTGCTCGGGTCTTAGAGAACCAGCTCGGTGCCTTCCGGGCACTACAGACGGGTGACAGGTGAAGGGTTACGTTTCTCACGTGTGTAGTATGTGACCCGCCCCCCACCTGTCCTCAGCAGGATCCTCTTAGGTCTGTTTAATCAGAACCCACCTGCCCACGTTTCCGCAGTGATTTTCATCCACAGCCCCAGACTCTGACCTTGACCAGCCACCCCCACTTCACACTGTGTTGGGAGCGGAACCCAGTGCTAGGCAGACCCTCTCCTCTTGCAGTAGCTCCTGAATAAAAACCTTCCCACTGACACTTTCACAACTCCCGGCTGTTTCTTCTCTAGCACTGTAAGAAGAGATTCTGTTGCCTGAAACACATTAACTCGGGTAGGGAGGACGACCTGGAGAGAATGAGAAGGCTGTTACCTCGCTTGATCCTCACTATGGTCCTGCCGAGCAGGGTCTATTGTCTTCAGTGAAAGGAGGATCAAGGGAGATGTTGTAGAGTAAATGAAAAAGCATCAGGCTTTTCTGCCCTCCCGCCATCAGGATGGATGATGGATCCCTGCGGTCCTCAACGCATGCCTGATGGCGGCACCTGGAGTGGGGTGTGGGCATGCGTAAGTGGGTACACCTGGGCTGAGAGACTGAGCTCATATGGGCGGCATCACGGGGACGGGACGCCAGCAGAACCACAAGAGAAGCAGAGAGAACGCAACAGCAGGCCAGAGAGCCCAGAAAGAGTGCAGTCTTGCCAGGGGCTGGGAGGCCTGCCAGCCTCCTGGCCCCCCAGTACCTCTGCCTGCCGTGTACCCAGTAAAATCCCAATAAAGCCTGAAAAACCACTGAGGACTCCAGGACTCTCTCCTTCACCCATCTGCTTGGGTCATAAAGATCCTGCCCCGTGCCCATTCCTGCCGATACAGACATGTAGGCAATTCTTGCAGGACGGACTCCCACCTCCTGTACCCAAGCTCTCAGGCAGCCCCCGATGCTGGGTCTGTCCACGTGACCTTCTGACAAGCAGATGTGTGTTTGACACCACGCAGCGGATGTTTGGAAAGCACTGGTACCTCAAGCTTGCTCTCTCTCCCCGCTGGGTCTGCCACACCCACTGCCCCCTGAGCAGCCCCCACCAGCCCCCCAGAGGGCGGAGGGCCCCAAGACCCAGCAGAGGCCTCACACAGTGTGGGCCGTGGCCTGCGCTCCCACCCAGCCACCACACAGGACTGCAAGAAAGAAATGTTTGCTATTTTAAGCCACACGGTCTGGGGGCTTTTGTTCTACAGCAAAACAAGGCTGCGAAGTCCCGTGACTTGCTCAAAGTCACACGGGGAGCTGGTGGGCCCTGTTTCCTTACCACCCCCGGCCTCCGACAAGGAAGGCCCTTCACAGTCTTCCTTCAAGCCGTTGTCCCCCCGGCTGGTTGGCTGCCTGCCAGGTCAGGTTAGCACTCCCAGGAGGACATTAAAAATATTTAGTGTGTAAAGAGAGCAGGGCCTTGCAGGCCCCCCAGGATCTCACGGGGAGACTGAGGTGAATCCTGGGGTGCTTGGGGGTGTCAGTTATCAAATGATATGGAAATATTGGGTTGTCAGAAAAGTCTGGATGTATTCTTTGTTTTTCAAGCAAAAATGATTTATGACTTTGCTGACAGCCCAATGGTTCATTGAAGTGGAAGGTCCACCCACATGGGCCTGTAGCAAGGAATGTCAGCCCTGGGGGTAGGGGCAGTCCTCCCCTGCTTCGTGGTCTGGAAGCATCTGCATGTTTGCTTCTCTCAAACAGCTGCTCACAGCTTCCGGAGGTTTCCTTCCACACAGCCCAAGCTGTAGCCACAACCCACACTTCACAGGTCCTCTCCTGACACCACACAAAACCAAGATATTCTCAGATAATTTATTCAGAATTTTAATATAAACAGATAATTATCCCATATTATACATGCAAAGTGATTCTGATATTCAAAAGAAAGGCATATTCTGTACATGGCACTACTTGGCTCTTGTAGGAAAACACAGACAAAAAATAACTGAGCTTTTGGTGGGTTTCAGAAAAGAGTTGTTTTCCACACAAGCCACGGCACATGTGAGGGCACAAAGCTGAGGGGCGGGAGGTGTCCGCTGGGGCAGGGTGAGGCCCCAGGCACAGCCGGAGCTGCCTGCCCGACGTGTGCTCCGCGCCCTCGTGCAGGCCGCTCCTTCTGTCTCCAGGGGACCAAGGGCTCCGCTCAAGATGCGATTTTGACCAAGGATTTTTAGGGCCTGCACCCAAATAAAAATGTGCCCCATGGCTGGTTCTGTACCTTGAACGGTATGAGAGCGCAACCGTGAGCTCACAAATTCATTGCTCCCCTCTTTCTAGGGGACCGGAAAGAAACATTCACTTTCAGTTGCAGCCCCTAGAACCCTTTACATTATTCCCATGTTTGAAAGAACAAAGGCTGGGAAGTTCTCCGCACTCCCAACCTCACCTCTGGTGTCAATTAATATTCTGAAGAACATTCTGGAAGATTTTCTGAAGGCATTTCCTCCCTCCCCAGCCCCCAACAAAGCCCTAATTTCTAAATAGCCTCAGGTGTCACGACTCACCAAGGAGCATCCAAAAGACATTCAACCCCAAACTTCCACCCACCACAGAGCAGAGCAGTGATTGCCATTGGGACTGTGGTGCTCGCCCGACGGCCGGCGTGGGCATCCGGGGCGGTGCGCCCGTGGCCGGAGCAAGCCACCCCACTGCACACTCACGCGCCATGGGGGACAATGTGGGGAGCTAGGGGTGGTCCCCAGTTGCGGGGCAGTGCCTTGCACCCATTTGTGCATTTTCTTTCAGTTGTGCTCAACGTCTGCTGGAGAGCTGCATCCTCTCTCCTTCCTGCTCGCTTGAAACAGGACAGCACCCAGGACAGTCCCAAGGACAAACAATGCCACGCAGGTCGCTCCCCGGTTCAGGGAGCAAGTGGGGATTCTCCGGGGATGCAAACACCACCCAAAGCCACATCAAGGAAAAGGGTTTCGTGACAGTGAGACAGCGTCACACACAAGTACTCAAGCCGGCTTTTTTTTTTGTAACTCATCACAACAAATCCCCTGGACAGCCAGGCCTTTCCAGAACATTCTGGTGGTAGTCAACAATATCTGCTGCGGAAGGAGGCAGAACTGTGACCCAACGCTGCTTGCTTTACTGCAGCAACCAAGGCCGCTGAACGCGGCGAAGCCTTGACTACAAGGCTCTGCCCGGGTCTGCACACAAGGTCTCAAGGGCCCACCAGGCCAGAAGGGATTGGCTTGCAATCAACCAGACCCCAAAACAGAGGGACATGGTTCTGATAACTGTATCGGGCATGCTGGTGGGTTTGGGATCAGAATTTCTCAACATGCCCCCCCCCCCCCTTTTTGGAAAATAAAAGGAGACACTGTATTGGGTGTTTGTGTGTGGAGTGCCACGAGTGTGATGTTTTTCACCCCAAAACGGATCTCAACCTGAAAGGAGAGGGAAGAAGGCACAGAGAGAGCCCAGGGCTTGGGGTGCCCACTTGGGGGAACACAGTGGGACAGTGGGGTGCTGGCCCTGAACTGGAGACTGTCTTTACCCCAGTAAAGACATCTGCTCCCCAATAAAGGCAGGAGGCTGAGGCCTGGGGCCTCACACATCACAGGCACGCTAATGCCTTGTTTGATGAGGGCTTGTCTGGGGAGCTTGGTGTCAACTGATGGATTAAAATAAAGGAAGTTAAATTCAGAGAAGAATTTTCTCGGCCAGGAAAAGGATCTGTGCTCACACAAAAACCACACTTTGTCTATCTAAACTCCCTCCCTCGAGATTCTTCCTAGTCTCTGGCATTCCAGAATCAGCTAATATAGATTTCCCCGATTCAGATGAGATCCAGGCAGGATTCGAAAGTCTCAAAGATGTCCATTGTTAAACCACATCCTAATGATACACTGAGGTAGACTGTGCTGGAAAGAAAATCATTACCCCACATTCACCTGTTTATTTTTCTTGGATAAAAATTTACATGCGCTCCATTTTTTTTTTTTTTATGAAAGTGATTTTTACAGTGATTTTTATATATTAAAATAAATAATTTCCCCTAATATAAGAAAACCTTTCTTAATTAGAAAAATGTGAAAACTGCTGCTACTGTGGCACACAGCCACTACAAATTGACTACGGAAACAACAAAATACCTAGATCTACGTTTTTCTAATTGACATCCAGACCCTCTAATATGTACAAAACAAATTTGGCGAAAATAACTTCTGTATACTTGCTTCTTGTACCCAATCACTGAGGCGCCCCAGAAATATTTTACATGCTATAATTTCTCAAATCATATAAATAAAATCGCAGTAGGCAACTGGGATTCGTGTCTACCTGTGTGCTTAAGAAGTGAGGAAGCTGAGGTCACCATTGCCTCTGTCCTGTTCTCAAGCCCACAGCTCTTCAGAGAAGGAAACAATCAAAAGCTTGAGCGAAAATGCACGCAGGAATAACCTGTGGAGGATGATGTGGATGAACCCAAGTAATGACTTCACTGTGTCCTTTATTTGAGCAGCTGTGGTTTCCCCCCCGAAAGGGAAGAAACGGTGGATTCACGCGTTAGGGAAGTCCCGGTGCGTGAAGGTCCTTAGCGGTTTCTCCTCCAGACTCTACTCTCTTAGGAATCGCGACGTCGTCAGCACCTGAGGGTTCTTCTCCAGCCCCACACCTGACACAGCTCAGGTCGCTGGCGCAGAGCAGCTTCTGGGAGGCCGGTTCTGAGGCTGGTGGGTCGCCTGGGGGCCCAGCATCTGCATATATTGCTTAGTGTTCTGAAGTCCGTCCCTCTTCATCTGACTCTGTGGTTTGCCCAAAAGCTGTAGGCGTTGCACACCCAGCTGAGGAAGCGAGCAAGGCACACACAGGGGACAGAAGCTCCGAGCCACACTGGGTCTGGCCGGACTCACCTGTAGGCTGCTGCCAGCTCATCCAAGCAGAAGCCAAACCATCCACCAAGCCCCGCACCCCCGCCCTCAGCATGGCCTACAACGTCCGTCAGAGTTAGCAGCTAACGTGGCTTTATTCCCAGAAAGAGGGATGCTTTTAAGACCAAACAAAGAGGTCACCGTGTCTCCTCCCACTCCCCATCCCAAGACCCTCTCCCCCAGTCCCAGGAAACTGTCAATAACTTACGAGGTTGACACTGGAGACTTTTAAAAAATTAAATATGTCACAAATATATTCTCAAAACTCTGTCACCTCTGTACTTTCTTTTTCCTGTCCTTTTTTTCTGTCCTGGCTTTGTTTGGTCTTTAAAAGACCCACTATCACCCCAAACTAAACGCTACTTACTCCTCAGCTCCCGAAAAAACATTTTCACCCAAGTTAAGGGAGAAAAGACTCCTGAGGCTAGACGTGGGACACAAGGATATGTTGAGGGTAAAGTCTCCCAGCAGATGAGGAGGAAGGAGAAACGGGGGGATCAGGAGCTCCTTCGTGTCCACCCAGCACGAATGCTGCGCAAGCAGGTGCGTGTCTGTGCGCACCCCACACACGCCCGCACACACACCACCAGCCGTGTCTCGCCTAGACACACACTCGTGAGTGGCGTGCTGGGACTGCAATCCTTATCAAAAGTATGAAAGCAGCAGCTATTGGTCAATTTGAGGAACTGATTTTGTGAAGGGAAAAAAAATCCTTCAGCCTGTTTGAGAGGGACTCGCCGGCAGCTCATCCCCTCAAGCCTGGGTTTCCACGGGGGCATTTTTTTTTTTCTTTCAAATATTTGTTCCACAAACAAGCTCTACACTGTAGCTCAGACACCAGCACACACGCACACAAATCTTTGTAAAAACAGGCGCTTTCTTTCAATCTACTAGGAAAAAAATAAAAGAGCATCCTGGCTTGACACCAGACGGCCGAAAGGACAGCAGCTGTGGAAACCCCTCCCCTGTGTTCACAGTTAAATACTCTGACGACTGGTCAGGCTGGCAATCAATGTTTTCAGTCGTAAGAGGAACAGAAATGTAATGATCTCTGAGCTCCGTCTGACACTGTGGCAGAGTCGTGTGGGAATCCTGAGTTTTCTAGAGGCCTTCGAATCCAGAGGAAAGTGAAGACAGGAACCCAGCCCCCCACAGGCACCGTTAGGAAGGACTGGACCGAGGCAGAGTCAGAATCCGGCCGTTCTTCTTGCCCCCGTTCATGTGGGTGTAGGGGATGTGCTCCTCGTAGTTCCGCTTGAGGCCCAGCGCGGACCCGCCGTCCCGGCCCCCGGCCTCCTCTCTCTGGGAGTGCGAGGAGCGGTCCAGGGGGACACTCTCCATGTCCTCAAACTCCATCTCCAGTTCCTCGCTCTCGGGCGCCTTGTTCTCCTCGCTGTGGAAGAAAGAAACTTCCGGGAAGCTGGGGTGCAGGTCGTCCTTGAGCAGGTCCACGATCTCCAGGAAGGTCGGCCGCATCTTTGGGTTGAACTGCCAGCACATGCGCATCAGGTCGGTGCTACGGGAGAGAGGGACACGGGATGAGGGGGGGCCCGGCCACGAAGCCCCGTCCCCTGCCCTAGCGTCCAACAGAAGCCAGAGACCAGGCTCCCAGCAGCGAGGACCCACAAGTGCCGACAATGTTAAGGCAGAAACAGCTACTGTGTTGCTGAAAGGTGGTCTGGAGGAGCGCCCAAGGGAGCGGCCTCATTCCAGCCAGGTCAAGAAGGGCCTCTCCTGACGCTGCCACAAGATGAGCATCGTTCACCATTTTACTTATGACTGCACGTCGCGGTGCAGCTGTGTGGCCGGAACCGAGAGGCCAGCTCTGAGCGGCCATCTTGCAGCTTAGCCCACCCGCTCGCAGAGGGGCTATGACTTGATTCAGCCAAGAAAACACCAGACAGCAGCAGGGAGCATGGTTTTCATTTATCTCTTCCTTTCCCCCTGTAACTTCTTCTAGGGTAGGAGGCTGTAGACTTTCAGCCCATGTACCAAATGTGGCCCTCTGTATGTTTTTGTTAATAAAGTTTTATTAACACAGTCAGACCCATTCATTTATGTGTTTATCTGGCTGCCTTCCAGTCTCACAACAAAATCAAGGGGCTACCAGAGAGCCATGAGGACTACAAGGTTTAAAATATTTACAGTATGACTCTTTACAGAAAGTTTGTGGGAGTCTACCTTAGGGCCTATTTAATTTCTCTGGTCCTAGAATAAGAGCCAGCTGTTAAGTGGCATGACCAGAAAAGAAACTTCAGGAGGCAATGTTTAGAAATACTTTTCTCAGAGATCCTGCTTCATACTTGTTTTTATATGATGTTTGCTAATTGATGTCTTACTTTGGGGGTAATAAAGTATTAAAAGTCTGGCTCCATGGATTTTTCAGGAGAGCAAGATTATTTCTTAATAAACACTGATAAGGGAATTTATGTGTAATAAATGCAGAAAGTTAAAAAACACCCAAAGATGTAGAGAAAACACAGCTGACATACAACTATCCTTCAAAATAACCTCTTTTCTATTTGGAGACATTTGCTACATACATACTGTTTCCATAAGCATCATTTGAAATTTCCATTGCTACCGCCTATTAATCTATCAACTTATTGACAATTCTCCTATTCCTGGAAATTTACATCATTTCAATTTTTTGTGCATGTTTAATGGAGTGCACATGTGTTTTGTCCATTTGGTCTTATAGCTAAAATTTAAAACAATTAGGAGGACTATCTAACACACATCCCTGACAAAATATTTTGAATGCTTATGCTTAGTGATTAATTTTTCTATTTTTATTGAGATATAATTGACATATAGCATCATATCCGTTTCCTCACAAAATGTTAGGTATATAAAGAGTAGACAGTTTCGCATAAGTGCCCCACTCCAGTCCCCGGCCCCCTCCCAGGGTAGCTGCTTCCAGGTTCCTTATGTGACCTTCCAAAGATATGTAATACAGCAACATGTACAGTGAAGACAGTGTATGTAGACACAAGCTGGTGTGTACTCATGATAGGTAAACACAAATGTGCATGCAGAAATACAATGTGCAAGCACCGTGTGCATGTGAGCATGACGTGCAAATACGGGATACATGTAGAGATATGATTGCAAGCACAGCATGCATGAGAAGACACGACACACAAACACCAGCACGCGTGCAGACACGGCATGCAATACCAGCACACGTGTGGACGTGACATGCAAACACAAGCATACAAAGGACAAAGTCTTTTTAATAAACACTCCCCACTCTGACCCCCTTCCACACTTACACTCTCTCTGGACAATTGTCGGGTTGATCCAGAAACCCTCCATCCATGACAAACTTCAACACCTGCTCATTAGACAGGCCTTGGTAAGGTTGTTCTGCCAAGCTGGTGATTTCCCAAAGGACCACGCCAAAGGACCTGCCAATGACAGTCAAGAGCAGAGCCAAGAAACCATCAAAACACACAACCATCATGTCTTTGTTAACTAGACCTGCTCGACCAGTTCATTAAATGATTTATGCTGCCATTCAGAAATACTAATAGGATTAGCCTCAACCAGAACACCACGGCAGCCTTGCATCGATCCCAGGGGGACGTCCCTTCATCTTGATGGGGAGGTCATGAGGAAGGCCAGTGTTAAGTGTCCTCTCTAGCCAGTCACGCCAGCAAAGCAGCCTGGAATTCTGGCCCAGGGTTCTGTCTGCCAGTCCACACACAACTCACCACATGTCGGAAGAAGTGGTAAAAACCCCATCTTTCAGGGATTCCGGTGCCATCCAGCGCACGGGGAGCAGGCCCTTGCCCCCTTTCCGGTAGTAATCCGTTTCGTAGATGTCTCTGGTCATTCCAAAGTCTAACAACAGACAATTCACATGTTCTTAACCTTCAGCCTACTGCCCGGTGCCCACCACCCTCACCACCCCCTCCTGTAGAGCCTCAAGGAGACTTACCTGCCCCAGAGGTGTGCCCACCTGGGTGGTGGCTAAACCCAGTGAGAATGAATTCTAAATGTATTCATGCAGGGAGCGGGGGGCGGCCACGATTTACAAGGGAAGGAAAAGGAATCCCCAAGTGGCAGAGGCGACATTCGGCCTACAGCTCAGGAGCCGCATTCCCAGCAGTCCCTTCCCACCCACGGCTGCACGGGCTTCCCAGACTGAGCTTCTGACTCTCTGCGGCCAGCCTGCTGCTCCTTGTTGCAAGCGGCCCCACCGGTCAGCCAGGTACCCTGCCAGAAACCCATGTCTAGGGACTTCACTGGCCACCCACTTTCCTCATACCCCATGTCCAAGGCAGCGAGGAGTCCTGCCCACCCACCGTGACGTGACGCCCCCTCGAATCCATCCTGTTCTCCTCCTCACTCTGGCCACCCAGGCCCACCACACCTCCAGCCACAGGACCCTCCCTCCATCCTGACCCCGACACCCACTGTCCAGGAGAAACTGAACAGGGCCATGTCCCCTCTTGCTTGCCACCTTCCTACGGCAGGATAAGGTCTTTGGGGAATACAGGGCGTCACTTCCTCTTCCCTGCTGACATGAGATCACGTCTTTCTGATGATTAAACAGAACCCTGGTGCATCCTGCTTCCCCGGCTGTGTGGGGAGACCATCTGGACGACTCGCCACATCCTGCAAGACCCGCCTGGGGGTGGCAACCACCTCTCTCCGCCCAGACTTCCTGTCTCGCGCTCCTCTCTGCACGCATCTCATTCACATCACGTCCACTGTCCTCCAGCCCCCAGCCTCGGCGTGCACCGCAGCGCCCGCCACGTGCACCCCCACACCGTGATGCTGTCACTTAGGTCAACTGCTAACTCTTCGATGCTTGGTATCCTTACAGAGAAAGGATTTCTTCTCTAGCACGGAACTCCTTACTTCCGTCAGCACTGTCTTCCCAGTCTTCATTGTCTTGTTCACAGGAGCAGTGACTGCTCTATTGTTCATCTGGAACAGCTTTGTCCAGCAGAACCCTCTGTCTGTGAACATGTCCAGTATGGCAGCCACTGGCCCAAGGCAGCTACTGAACGCCTGAAATGTGTCCAGTGCAAATGACAGACTCGATATTTTATTTTACTTAATTCAAATTAATTTGAACATGAATGAGCACACGCAGCCCGTGGCTACTGTGCCAAGACTCCAAGCCATAGGCAGGCAGGAGAATCCTGGCGACTTGGTCATCACTGCGCCCAAGGTCCCCCCTTGGTGACCTGCATGTTCGGGGGTCACAAATAATATTCAAAGAATGAGTGAATAAATGAATGCAATTAAAATTAGTTGGAAAACAGGTCCCCAACCCAAACGCTGCTCCTTTACATCATCCAAAAAGATTATAGAAAACTCCTGAAATGAAAATCAGCGTGGGGGCCTTCCTGGTGGTGCAAGGGTTCAAATCTCAGCACTATGAAGCTGTCCGCAGCCTCTGCAGGCTGAGTTTGATCTCAGCCAGGGAGCTACCCACATGGCGCAGCAGACCTCTCCTGTCTCCCGGCTGCTGCCCTCAGCAGTGGATTTCAGTGGATCCCCCTGTTTTGCTCCCCACTCTGTCTCTTGTGAATCCTCTCACCACCCCCTGCATCTCTGGCCTGCATCCCAGTTCTTGCATGCATGCATAAATAAATCTTTACAAAAAAACCAAAAACCAAATCAGCGTGGGGCATTCTCAAGCCAGGACGGCAGACCAACCTCCGATTTTGACGGTGAAGTCATGGGCGACCATGCAGTTCCGCGCTGCGAGGTCGCGGTGCACGAACTTCTTGGCGTTCAGGTAGGCCATTCCATCTGCGATCTCCGCTGCCATCTGGATCATCTCTTGCAGGGTGGGCGGGGGGCGGCCGGGGTTATTCTGAAGTCAGAACAGGGCTGTGCTCAGCGCCCCTGGGGCCTGCGCAGTTGTGGGCCCCGCGGGAGCCGGGAAGACGCTCACCTCAGCCTCCGGCCGCAGGGAACGCAGGTAGCTCTTCAGGTCCCCGTGCGCCATCAGCTCCATCACCACCAAGGTCGGCTGGCCTTTGGACACCACCCCCAGGAGGCGCACCTGTAGGGGAGCGCGGGGAGGGACTGAATGAGGGGCCACAGAAGACTGTCACTCACCCAGGCCTCCCCGCCTGTCACACACAGCACCCTGGTCGTGGGGGAATGTGGTGACCCTGTGTTCCTGGTCTGCCCCGCTCAAAGCCCAGCGTGGACACCTTGCTGGGGGCAGGGGAGGAAGGGGTGATGTCCCTGAGCTCACGAGGCCGACCCCCTCCAGGCCTCTGCACGGCTGTTGACTGACCCCTCACATGCCCACACAGCTCACTTCCTACATCCTTAAGATGCCCGGGCCCCGTCCTCTGAGCCCACCTCCTCTCCCAGCTCCCGGTGACATCTCCCAGGGCAGAGGCGGCAGTAGCCTGCTGGGTTACATCTGTTCTGCCTGCTGTGCTGGAGGCCCCGCGAGAGAGGATCTGCTGGTCACGAGACCAGCGCGGGGTCCAAGCACAGAGTGGTGGCCCCTAAACATGCCTGAGGCAAAGGTGGAAGGCTGGGAGGCCCGAGAGATGCTCAGGGAGCGCTGTGAGCAGAAGGGCAGGAAGAGCCTGTGCTGACTTGAGGGGATGGGCTAAAGGGAGCTGGGGTGGAGCGAACCACCATGATTTCAGGGTTATGAAGGAGGCAGGAAGAGGACAGCCCTGGAAGGTTCCGGAAAGTAATGGGGCAGCGAAGAACCCGCTCCAGGCGGGGTGGTGGAGGTAGGACCGGAGAAGGGGTGGCGCGGCCGCCCGCCACACTCACCACGTGGTGGCAGGTGAAGCCCTTCATGACCGAGGCCTCGTTGAGGAACTCGATCCGCTCCCGAAGACTGGCGGACTCGTTGACCGTCTTCACCGCCACGCGCGTCTCCGCCTCGCCCTTAATGATGTCCCTGGCGTTGCCCTCGTACACCATGCCGAAGGAGCCCTGGCCCAGCTCCCGCAGCAGCGCGATCTTCTCCCGCGGCACCTCCCACTCGTCCGGCACATACACAGAACACGGGAACACTGCTCCTCACTCATCTACACGCCCACCCCACTGGGTTCTGGGGCCCCAGCACCCGCCCCCAACACCCAGACCCCACAAACATTCATTAGGTGACTGCGATCCAGGAGCCCTGCCAGTTACTGGACCAAGACCAGGACAGTACGTGTCCCTGTCCTCGCGGGGGCACAGCAGAAGCAGGAGACAGGCCCCTCATGGTCTAGGCTCCGGCCGAGCCTGCAAGCCCGTCCTTTCTGTTCGGTTTGGAGCCCTCAATACAAAAGGACGCAGGCGATGCTCCCTCCCATCTGAAGCTGTTTGTGCATTTGCCAAGGGGGTGGGCACAGGTGAAAATTAAACCAGCCACAACGCCCACAGCCCCACCCTGTATAAGGGGGAGTCTAGGCCATCACCACTGCACCTGTGGACATGAGCAAGTGTCTGACTGCTCCCGGGGCAGGGGCAGGGGGTGCAAGCTCCATGAGACTCCAGGGCTCAGCTGGGTGTCCCGGATGCTGACCCCTGCTTTCACTTGAGGGTGGTGACAGAGGGACCCACACAGCAGGGCCCTGGCACCCTGGGGAGGATGGAACTCACCATCGCTGGCACTGAGGTACTCGGGGTTTGAAGACGCATACAGGGGTCCCAGCGGCCCATCCGGCTGCCTGGAAGAGTGAAATGGAGCCGTGTCAGCAGGGGATCCTCAGAGACCACCCTGGGCCACTAGCAGGAGGCCTTCTAAGGGGACCAGCCACCCCACTGGCATCCACATGGTCGCTGGACACAGCGAGGGGCCAGGGACACACTGATGCTTTGAGTGAAGCCCGTCAGAGGTTCACTTAAGACTCAGCCTGCAAATTGTAATCTCTGGTCATCACGTAACACCTAATGGCCTCCCAGCCTGCCCTCTGCGGCCCTCACTCACGCCAATTCCCAAGAAACAGCTTTTCATTTTCAGGACATTTGCAAGCAAGTGGGTGAATACAACCATCATGCAAAATTAAATTATAGAGCCTTATAATTCATCACCTCCTAATTATTGTGCTTTATTTGACTATAATAGAGCCCTTGAGGCTCTCACATGGCCCGTTTATCTCTGCTTTGGGGTCTGTCTGGTGCAACAGTGGACAACGGTGAGCGACCTGCCTCTTCCTGACCCCGCAGTCACCCACGGCCAGGCTTGAGATTGGCTATAACGGGGATATTCTCACCACAGGAAGAGGGGGCAGAAAACCAAGACTGGACTGATCTGTTGTTTTGCAGGCTTGAGGAAGTGATAGAAAAAAGCATTTAGGGTCCTCCCAGGTGGTGCAGGGGGTTAAGATGCAACCTATGAAGCTGTCCGCAGCCTCTGCAGCACGAGTTCGATCCCCCTCCGGCCAGGGAGCAACCCACATGGCGCAGCAGACCTCTTCTGTCTCGCCCGCTGCTCCCCTCAGCAGTGTATTTCAGTCCATCTACCTGTTCTGTTCCCCACTCTGTCTCGGGTGAATCCTCTCACCCCCAACACCTCTGGCCTGTACCCGCTCTTGTGTGCATAAATCTTAAAAAAAAGTGTTTAAAGCACAGATGACGTGTGTCATCTCTGTAGCTGTGACAATGGGAAGGGCA